ACATTTAATGCAAGCAAAAGACAAAAAAATGGTCACATATAAAATATGTAATATTATAATAATGTGATTCAAACTTGTAAACCATACATACACTGATTCCTCACATATTAATATAAGGTTTAGTTTGTGAGTAATCCAGCAATGATTTTTTTTTTTTTGTAAATTACCAGGAGACGGGAGTTTGGGTGTTGATTTGGCTGTATATGTGATAACACGTTCTGCTCAAGATCAGACTGTCTTTCATTAGGTTGCCAGATTATTTGATTTGTGACCATCTGTGTTTTAGAAGATGTCTGAAAAAAGTCTGCGTTATCCATAGTAACCAGTTACTTTCCAGGTCAATATTTCCTTTTTAGGAATCAGCATGGTGAAGTTAATTTGTGCTTAATTTTATAATATGGGACATTGCACATATAGAGGGATAGGCTTCTTTTTCTAGATTCTGAATATACAGTTGCAAGAAAAAGCATGTGAACCCCTTGTGATTACGTGGAGTTTTGCATGAATTGGGCATAAAATGTGCTCTGAACACAGTCTACTGAACATAATACTACACAAACATTAGATGTTGCCATGGTTTAATTGCACATAACATGTAAACATTCACAGTGCAGGGAGGAAAAAGTATGTGAGGCCCTAGCTTAATGACTTCTCCCAGAGCTAATTGGAGCCGGGAGTGAGCCAACCTTGACTCCAATCAGTGTGATGATATTGGATGTGTTGCTGACAGCTGTCCTGCCCTTAAAAAAACACACACCTGTTTTGGGTTTACTGGTTTCAAGAAGCACTGTCTGATGTGAACCATGCCTCGCAGAAAAGAGCTCTCAGAAGACCTACGATCAAGAATTGTTGACTTGCATGAAGCTGGAAAGGGTTACAAAAGTATCTCCAAAAGCCTTGATGTTCATGTGTCCACGGTAAGACAGACTGTCTACAAATGGAGAAAGTTTAGCACTGTTGCTACTCTCCCTAGGTGTGGTCGTCCTGTAAAAATGACTGCAAGAGCACAGCGCAGAATGCTGTATGAGGTAAAGAAGAATCCCAGAGTGTCAGCTAAAGACCTACAGAAATCTCTGGCACGTGCTAACATTTTTGTTGACACAACTATAATAAGGAAAACATTAAACAAGAATGGAGTACATGGGAGGACACCACGGAGGAAGCCATTGCTGTCCAAAAAGAATATTGCAGCACGTTTGAAGTTTGCAAAAGAGCACCTGGATGTTCCACAGCACTACTGGCAAAATATACTGTGGACAGATGAAACCAAGATTGAGTTGTTTGGGAAGAACACACAACACTATGTGTGGAGAAAAAAAGGCACAGCACACCAACATCAAAACCTCATCCCCACTGTAAAACATGGCGGAGGGAGCATCATGGTTTGGGGCTTGTTTGCTGCTTCAGGGCCTGGACGGATTGTTGTCATTGATGGGAAAATGAATTCCAGAGTTTATCAAGACATTTTGCAGGAAAACGTACGACCATCTGTCCGCCAACTGAACATCTGCAGAGGATGGGTGATGCAACAGGACAATGACCCAAAGCATACTAGTAATTCAACAAAACAATGGCTGCAACAGCACAGAATACGCCTTCTGGAGTGGCCCAGTCAGAGTCCTGACCTCAACCCGACTGAAATGCTGTGGCATGACCTTAAGAGAGCGATTCACACCAGACATCCCAAGAATATTGCTACACTGAAACAGTTTTGTGAAAAGGAGTGGTCCAAAATTACTCCAGATTGTTGTGCAGGTCTGATCTGCAACTACAGGAAACGTTTCATTGAGGTTATTGCTGCCAAAGGAGGGTCAACCAGTTATTAAGTCCAAAGGTTCACATACTTTTTCCTCCCTGCACTGTGAATGTTTACAAGCTATGTGCAATTAAACCATGGCAACATCTAATGTTTGTGTAGTATTATGTTCAGCAGACTGTGTTCTTCTATTGTTGTGACTTAGATGACGTTCAGAGCAAATTTTATGCCCAATTCATGCAAAACTCCACGTAATCCCAAGGGGTTCACATACCTTTTCTTGCAACTGTACATAAATCATGTGAATATGAGTGTATATTTTTTCTATATTCAGTGTGTGTGTATGTATACATATATATGTATATATATACAGTGGGGATCGAAAGTTTGGGCACCCCAGCTAAAAATTTGTATTAATGTGCATAAAGAAGCCAAGGAAAGATGGAAAAATCTCCAAAAGGCATCAAATTACAGATTAGACATTCTTATATTATGTCAACAAAAGTTAGATTTTATTTCCATCATTTACACTTTCAAAATAACAGAAAAAAAAAAAATGGCGTCTGGAAAAGTTTGGGCACCCTGCAGAGTTAATATCTTGTACTGCCCCCTTTGGCAAGTATCACAGCTTGTAAACGCTTTTTGTAGCCAGCCAAGAGTCTTTCAGTTCTTGTTTGAGGTATCTTTGCCCATTCTTCCTTACAAAAGTCTTCCAGTTCTTTGAGATTTCTGGGCTGTCTGTCACGCACTGCTCTTTTAAGGTCTATCCATAGATTTTCAATTATGTTGAGGTCAGGAGATTGTGAAGGCCATGGCAAAACCTTCAGTTTATGCCTCTTGATGTAATCCCCCGTGGATTTTGAGGTGTGTTTAGTATCATTATCCATTTGTAGAAGCCATCCTCTCTTTAACGTCAGCTTTTTCACAGATGGCATCAAGTTACCATCCAAAATTTGCTGAAATTTTATTGAATCTATTTTTCCTTCTACTCGTGAGATGTTCCCTGTGCCACTGGCTGCAACACAACCCCAAAGCATGATTGATCCAACCCCATGCTTAACAGTTGGACAGAGGTTCTTTTCATTAAATTCTATGCCCCTTCTTCTCCAAACGTACCTTTGCTCATTCCGGCCAAAAAGTTCAATTTTAACCTCATCGATCCACAGAACTTGTTTCCAAAATGCATCAGGCTTGTCTATATGTTCATTTGCAAAGTTCAAACGATGATTTTTGTGGTGAGGACGTAGAAGAGGTTTTCTTCTGATGACTCTTCCATGAAGACCATATTTGTACAAGTATCTCTTTATAGTGGAATAGTGTACCACAACTCCAGTGTCTGCCAGATCTTTCTGGAGGGATCGTGCAGTCAAACGTGGTTTTTGAATTGTTTTTCTCACAATCCTGCGAGCTGTTTTGTCTGATATTTTTCTTGGTCTTCCAGATTTGCTTTAACTTCCACTGTTCCTGATGACTGCCGTTTCTTAATTACATTCCGAACAGAGGATATTGACATCTGAAAATGCTTTGCTATCTTCTTATAGCCTTCTCCAGCTTTGTGAGCGTCAACTATTTTCAGTTTCAGTTTTCTAGACAACTGCTTAGAAGAACCCATGGTGCTGATTGTTGGGGCAAGGTCAGATGAGTCTGGGCATTTAAAATCTTTGAGATTGACATCATCTGGTCTTCCCAGACGATGATTGAGAACAATCCATGACACTGGCAGGTCTCAGCTTTGCAAAGGGGGCAGTGCATGCTATAAATTCTGCAGGGTGCCCAAACTTTTGCAGACGCCATTTTTTTGTTTTCTGTTATTTTGAAAGTGTAAATGATGGAAATAAAATCTAACTTTTGTTGACATATTATAAGAATGTCTAATCTGTAATTTGATGCCTTTTGGAGATTTTTCCATCTTTCCTTGGCTTCTTTATGCACATTAATACAAATTTTTAGCTGGGGTGCCCAAACTTTCGATCCCCACTGTATATATAATATATTTTTTTTTTAATAATACATAATATACAGGCAGTTCCTGAGTTTACAAACATCCGACTTACGTATGACTCGTACTTAAAGTGGAGTTCCAGCTGAAAAAAAAAATAAAAGTCAGCAACTACAAAAAGTGTAGCTGCTGACTTTTAAAATACAGACACTTACCTGTGCCTTGGTCCAGCGGTGTCCTCACCACAGCTGGTTTCACCGTCCGTCTTCTCTCCCTGGCGCTGGCATCTTCAGTGTGGGCAACCGGCGGTGAGAGCTTGTGGCTTCACAGCCGGGTGCCCACTGCACATGCGTGAGAAGCACTACGCTTTGTGAATGGCCCCGTAGTCTTCTGGGACCTGTCACGTGTCCCAGACTACAGGAAGGGAGGGGAGAGGACAACTTCCGCTTCCGATCGCAGTGGAAGTGGGAGCAAGTACCTGTCAGATTCGGGTACCTGCTCCTCAAAGGTTTCAATCCTTAATGGGGAGCAGGGGACAAGTGCTGAAAGCGTACCTTCCCCTTTTGGGTGGAGCTCCGCTTTAAGACCATAGGCAGAGTGATCCTGTAATCCTGGAAAACCGCCTGGCCGGCCTTCTTGCTGCTCAGCGAATGCTACTGTCCAGTGGACCTGTCAGCAATCCCACATCACTGCATGGCCAGTTAAGCCTTCCCTATACTATCCAAAACTTAAAAAATGTTTTTGACTTAAACACACTTAAACTTACACTTAAAAAATGCGCCTGTTCCAACTTACATACAAATTCAACTTAAGAACAAACCTACAGAACTAATCGTGTTCGTAATCTGTAATCTGGGGACTGCCTGTATATAATAATATAATTGTAATAAATATGCAGAGACAAAGCCTGGCCAAGTAAAAAATTCATGCTTAACTACTTGCCAACCGCAGCTAGCCAAATGACGGCTACACTGCGGCCGGCCAGTTCTGGGAGGGCGTCATATGACGTCCGCCCAGAACGCGCTCTCCTGCGCGCCCCCGGGGGCACTCACCCGGTGATCTCCGTGATCATTGGACACAGCTGATCACGTGATGTGGTAAATGGCCAATCACAACGGCCTTTTACCATGTGATCAGCCATGTCCAATGACAAGCTGATCACCGGGAAATGCAATTGCCGGTTCTCGGCTGCACTTTCCTCACACTGTCAGAGCGTGAGGAAAGTACTGCCGAGAACCGGCAGTTGTCAGAGCAAGGATCGGCACCGATCATCAGGGCACTGATGATCAGTGCCCTGGTGATCAGTGACCAGCAGTGCCACCCACCAGTTCTGCCCACCTGTGCCCAGCAGTGCGCCCACCTGTACCCAGCAGTGAGCCCACCTGTGCCCAGCAGTGCGCCAACCTGTGCCCAGCAGTGCACCCTCCTGTGTCCATCAGTGCACCCACCTGTGCCACCCAGCAGTGCCACACACCTGTGCCCAGCAGTGCCACCCACCTGTGCCCTCTCCCACCTGTGCCCACCAGTGCCACCCACCTGTGCCCACCAGTGCCACCCACCAGTGCCCATCAGTGCAGCCCAGCAGTGTTGCCAGTCAGTGCCACCAGTCAGTGCCCAGCGGTTGTGCCAGTCAGTGCCCAGCAGTGCTGCCAGTCAGTGCCCAGCAGTGATGCCAGTTAGTGCCACCTATCGGTGCTATCTATCAGTGCCACCTATCAGTGCTGCCTATCCGTGACACCTCATTAGTGCCGCCTATCCGTGTCACCTTTTTAGTGCTGCCTATCAGTGCCGCCTCTCAGTGCTGTCTATCTGTGCCCATCAGTGCCACCTATTAGTGCCCATCAGTGCTGCCTCATCAACGCGCATCAGTGAAGGAGAAAAATTACCTGTTTGAAAAATTTTATAATAGAAACAAAGAAACTTTTTTTTTTCAAATGTTTTGCAATTTTTTTGTTTATAGCACAAAAAGTAAAGTGCCCAGCAGTGATTAAATACCACCAAAAGAAAGCTCTATTTGTGAAAAAAAAATTATAAAAATTTCATATGGGTACAATGTTGCATGACCGCGCAATTGTCAATCAAAATGCGACAGCGCTGAAAGCTGAAAATTGGCCTGGTAAAGAAGGGGGTATAAGTGCCCGGTAGGCAAGTGGTTAATCTGCTCCGAATTAATGACTCCTGAGCACCTTACCATATGGTGCCATGCTTAGCAACCAAACACATACAGATATATACAAGTGTGTATATATATATCAAAAAATGTATTGACAGGACAGCGCTCACCCAGAAATACAGTCCACATAGTGTAATTATTTATTCAAGTACAAACATAGTCCAATTTGCATCAACAAATTATTTAGGAGTTTCATACTCATCTGTACAACACTTTCAGACCCACGTAGATCCTTCATCAGCTGCAAAAAGAGTAAAAAGGGTTTTTAATTCTTATTGTATCTGACGGAGGATCCTTGTACAGATGGGTACGGATGAGTATGTAACTCTTAGTAAATAACAGCCTCACAGCATGTTAATGTCCAAACTGTCCATTCTTTGCTTGCCCCTAGTTGCATGTTAACATATATTAAGAACATTTAACTTGTGTGTCATTTTTCGTTCCACCTTCCAGACAGCAAAACTCTGACTTCTCAGCTGTATAAAATGTACTGTCTGCGCTAACCTTTAAGCATTTACAAGGTTGTCTAGAAAAATGTGATTTTGGCCAAAGCTCACCAGTAGTGGTTGTGGCTATACACCACAAGCAAATCAACACAATTTTTCTGGTTAAAAGGATTATAATAAAATACAAAGGAGGTCTGTCTGATTAGTTTACAGTTATGTGCCTTCAGTTTAATGATGTCCAGTAGGTGCTTCTTTCATACTACCATGTGTGAACTGGCAATTCTGGCTTTTCATAGACGTTCTGGGCTGTCTTTGGGGCCTGTTTATAAAGCCATATATGTCTATTTTTCATTGTTCACACATTAACAGGTACATGAAGCTGATCAGAGTAATTTCTAATTTTATTTTCATCATAATTTTGACTACACCAACACAATGACCTATTTTTGAGGCTTTGCACAACATATCCTATGCTGGTTTCCTTTTTGAAACTGTACTTGATAACAGGCAAATGTAAAATGGCTTTTCCATTGTTGCACTCCTTTACTAGTAGAAAGATCAATATAAATTTAATTTTAACTTTATCTCCGTATGTACTTAAGGGGTCAGTCTACCCAAAATTGATTTTCAACCAAATCACAACCCTCTTGACCAAAAAGCTAAAATAGGTTTGGCTAAAAAATCCTTGGCGTAATCCCTTGCAGCAGGGATCAAGGACCTTTGACAACAACTGTCCTCTTTGTTACTTCACCAAATCAAAGACTCTCAACACAGATTCAGATGGACTCAGCACCCTCTTTGCGAGTTCTGTCTTACAAAAAGGTCTCTCCAGGATCCCTGAGAACAACAAAGATGCCATAGGCCAAACCATAAGGAAAAAAAACAAAAGAAGCGCCACCATCTAAGTGTAGATTTAAGTAGAAATCAGGGAGAATTAAAAAATTGCACTCGCATTTATTAAAAGAATCAGAGCTTAAAGCGTTATTTTAATAGATGTTTTTAAGCTCTTATTCTTTTAATAAATGTGAGTGCAATTTTTTAAATCTGCCTAATTTCTACTTAAATGTACACTTAGGTGGTGACACTTCCTATGTTTTTTACTTAAACAAATTGAAGAGTGTTATCCAATCCTTTTAACCTCTTAACGCCGGCCGCACACAAATGTGCGGCCTCCCAACGTCTGGGCCTAGATGCTGAGAGGCCGCACATTTGTGTTCTATTAAAAAAAAATATGTGCTGAGAGCACGCGCCCTGCGCGCTCCCAGCACACACGTTCGGTACTCACGGAAATGTCCCGGTCTCCTCTTTCGATCGGGACCTTTCCCGATCATGTGATCGCTGTGACGACGTGTCACGGCGGTCACATAATCCCTAAACCCCGCCCATCCCGCATCCTGACTTCTGAAACTCTTAAAGGGCCGGGAGGTGCCGGAGCGAAGGGTTAAAGAGAAGCTGCAGCCATGTTCAAATGATTTTCAGTGACTGATATGGATTTACATATGGGACAATTTTAGAGACCCTCTTTCCCATCCACACTTATTTATTCACATCCCCAATCCACCCTAGCTCACCTAGCGCCATAACATTACCCTTTCCTCTTTACATAGACCAAACCATCCTGAAAGATGTATTTCTCTCAGCATTCTCCTCTGTGAAATCCGGCAAAGTCTCTAGGGTAGATATCTTCAAATACCACTACTACAAAAGGTTCAGTTCGCTTCAGAAATTTGTCAAATCTTACGACAGCATCCTAAAAACTGGACAGATTCCTTGAGACAGCTTATGCACTTTAGTATTGCTCAACCCAATGATTTCGCTATTGAGTGATCTCCCTGCTTAATACAGATCTGAACGTTTTTTTTAAGTCCTGTATCTTTCCTGCCACTTAAAGCCAAAGATATTGATACCTCCTTGTAGCCTCCCTGGCGGTATTCCCCAGTGTAGTTCGGGGTAAAGTTTCAGTACCACAAGTGGTAACCCCGAGCTACACTTGGGCTTACCATGCGGCGCTGCTCCGCGAACCCTCAATCACTTACCTTGTCCTGCGCTCCCGTGATGTCCCTCCTGCAGTGTCCCCGGCAATGTAATCCGGCGGATGCCGACATCTGTCATCTGGGTTCCAACCCTGCGAGCGTCGGGACGTACGGGGGACGGAACGGCGGGAAATTTGAAAAGGCCAAAAAGTGACATTCACTAAAATCACTAAAATCACATAGTAAAACATTACTGTATCAAACCATTTCACATACATTTTGTCCCGAGTGCTTTGTCCTGTGTCCTGCCTGCATTTTTACTGTTCGTTCTGCCTGGAAACTGAGAAATGTCCATGGCGTCCAAAAAGCGCCCCTTTATGTCAAAAGCAGTTTTAGACCAGCTAGAGAACAGCGATAGTAAATTAGAACTACTTGCAGAATTGAGTGATAATGATTTGTAGGGAAATTTGTCATCAGACACTGAAAACCATTCTGCGACTTTGCTCAGTGATGTGCGAACTTGGCGCTATATTTCAAATTTCAGTGTTTTTGGTTTGATTATATTATTGAATTAAATGTATTATTATTATATTATTATTTTTTATGATTATTTATTAAATTATAATTTATGATTTCGTGTTTCAAATTTTATCATACCCGGGATGTTTACTAGACTCTTGTTCGGACAGATTTCAGTGAGTTATTCCTTAAAATTGCAGCCTACAATAAAAAAAATACATATTTCCATGCAAAAAAATGTACCGCTTTGAGCACAGAAATATGGACATAATCAGACCGCTAGGGAGGTTAAACATTATCTATGATGCCGTATCTTGTAGGATCCCCCTCTTACTAATCTCTTACAATGCTGAAAAGGTTTGTGAAAGAATGAACTGGAATTTTATAGAAGCCACGCTGCAACATTTAGGCTTAGTCTCAAACATGTTTTTTTTTTTAAGTCCGTTGAGGTGCAAAAAAACTAAAAACCTGTAAGTGAACAAAAATCAAAATACTACAACCTCTACTAGTGTTTATTGCTCTCTATGCTTGGTAAATACTAAAACCTCTACTAGTGTTTATTGCTCTCTATGCTGGGTAAATACTACAACCTCTACTAGTGTTTATTGCTCTCTATGCTGGGTAAATACTAAAACCTCTACTAGTGTTTATTGCTCTCTATGCTGGGTAAATACTACAACCTCTACTAGTGTTTATTGCTCTCTATGCTGGGTAAATACTAAAACCTCTACTAGTGTTTATTGCTCTCTATGCTGGGTAAATACTACAACCTCTACTGGTGTTTATTGTTCTCTATGCTGGGTAAATACTACAACCTCTACTGGTGTTTATTGCTCTCTATGCTGGGTAAATACTAAAACCTCTACTAGTGTTTATTGCTGTCTATGCTGGGTAAATACTAAAACCTCTACTAGTGTTTATTGCTCTCTATGCTGGGTAAATACTAAAACCTCTACTAGTGTTTATTGCTCTCTATGCTGGGTAAATACTAAAACCTCTACTAGTGTTTATTGCTCTCCATGCTGGGTAAATACTACAACCTCTACTAGTGTTTATTGCTCTCCATGCTGGGTAAATACTAAAACCTCTACTAGTGTTTATTGCTCTCCATGCTGGGTAAATACTACAACCTCAACTAGTGTTTATTGCTCTCCATGCTGGGTAAATACTACAACCTCTACTAGTGTTTATTGCTCTCTATGCTGGGTAAATACTACAAACCTCTACTAGTGTTTATTGCTCTCCATGCTGGGTAAATACTACAACCTCTACTAGTGTTTATTGCTCTCCATGCTGGGTAAATACTACAACCTCTACTAGTGTTTATTGCTCTCTATGCTGGGTAAATACTAAAACCTCTACTTGTGTTTATTGCTCTCTATGCTGGGTAAATACTAAAACCTCTACTAGTGTTTATTGCTCTCTATGCTGGGTAAATACTAAAACCTCTACTAGTGTTTATTGCTCTCCATGCTGGGTAAATACTACAACCTCTACTAGTGTTTATTGCTCTCCATGCTGGGTAAATACTAAAACCTCTACTAGTGTTTATTGCTCTCCATGCTGGGTAAATACTACAAACCTCTACTAGTGTTTATTGCTCTCCATGCTGGGTAAATACTACAACCTCTACTAGTGTTTATTGCTCTCCATGCTGGGTAAATACTAAAACCTCTACTAGTGTTTATTGCTCTCTATGCTGGGTAAATACTACAACCTCTACTAGTGTTTATTGCTCTCTATGCTGGGTAAATACTACAACCTCTACTAGTGTTTATTGCTC